CTTTTAATGTGGTTTAACCCAAGTGTCTTATAAAGTCGGGATCCACAATTCTAACCCAAAAGCTTAAGCTGATAGGTAGGGCTTCACCCTTCAATATATGCAAGTGATACTCATCTTTATTTTCTGATGTGGGAACTCCAACAAGAAATGAGATGACATTGCAGCATTGGCCGGTGCATGGATAGTTCTAGGGGTGGACACGGTACGGTTCCGGGATGGTTCCGGTACCGCCACCCCATGCCACGGGTACCGTGACCGGACCGGACCGGCCGGTACCGGTTCCGGTTCCCGTACCGGACCGGCCGGTTTCGGCCCCCCCCTTTTTTTTTTTTGCTTTTTTTTAAAATTTTTAAAGTGTAAAATTGTAAATTCGCAATTGTTTAAGGAAAGAATGAAAAAAAATCTAAAAATGTACTCCGTAGTTGTTATTTAAATATTATAAAATGAGTAATACACGAAATGAAGAACAACTACATTTAATATACTGACGGTTCAAAAAAAGCGACGAGGTAAAGAACCGTAAAGAAACCCTCGAAGGAGCTTATATTTCGCTCACCTAAAAAAACTAATTACATATTTACATTAACATAAAAAAAGTTTATACTCCGTAACCTATTATTCAGAACTCGGACTTTCATCTGTAGTTACATTCATGTAATGCTCCGAATCGAGTTGGTACGATGACTCTTGAGCACGACGTCTTGCCAAGAGCTAATAATCTTGGTTGCAAACAAGTGTTTCAAGAGATTCAGCGTTAAGACAACTTCGGTAGTCGGTTACAATGTTGCCGCCAGCCCTGAATTCTCGTTCAACTGCTACGGTTGATACCGGGACGGACACCACTTGTCTTGCTAGCATTCCGAGACATGAGAACATGTGTTCGTTCCGCTTCCACCATCCGAGGACGTCAAACTCCACGTCGTCGTCGTCGTAATCGCATGGCACCCCTTGGTACATAGCAAGTTCGTTGTGCGAGCTTACTGTTGTACCACTTGAACTCCTAGAAGGCTGAGCACGCTTCCCTTTCTTTGCCTTTCCTCAAACTTTGGTTCACGGCGCCCATATCCACAGACCTTCTACCGGACTCTCTCGACATTTTAATATATATATTTTTTGATAGTAAAAAAATTAATATAGTAAATTTCGAAAATTTAAACAAAATTCGAAATTTTATATATTAGATTTTCAAAAATTTCGAAAATAATAAATGTTTTAAAAAAATATAATTTATTTAAAAAATTAAATATATATTTAAATTATTTAAAGAATATATTTAAAAATTAATTATATATTAAAGTTCGAAAATTTTGAAAAACTTTCGAAATTTTATATATTAAAATTTCGAAAATTTCAAAATTTTAATGTATAAAAATTTTATATTATTATATGAATATTAAATGTATAAAAATTAAAATGAGATAATAAGATTGAGAGATTGATAGATTGAGAGAATGAGAGAATGAGAGAATGAGATATCGATTGAGAGATTGAGTGATTTTTTAGGAAAAAAATGTGAGATTATATAGTTTCCCCCC